TTGTGTGGCGTCAGGGTGAGAAGTGGAGGGTGGGGGGAGGGGTCCAGGGAAGGGGGGGGGGCTGCTGCTGCAGCGCTCAGCAAGGGGTCGTGCTTGGTGCACCACTGCCAATTCTTTATTGCATCGATCTATCTCATTCTTTGTCTCTGCTTTTATTTCCTTGCGCCCGAGTATGCACCGCTACTTGTGGTACCCTCTCTGTACTCATTGGAGAGCCACGTCCAAACCACTAAATCTTCTTGTTTCTTGTGTGAAGCCCTCTCCAATATTTTATTTGATTTCTGCAAAAGGGCTGCTGCCATGACTGTGGAATGGTTGTCACGATTGACTTAAAATGTCGCGGTTCGATCTCCCAGCCTGGCCTTGAAAACATTGACCAGGATTCTTACAATTCCCTGTTTTTGTCCACCCACAGTCCATCGGTGGGTCGAGTGCAGTGGGCTAAATGGCGAGTACTCCCACCTCTTTCAAGACGTATGGTCAGTGTGGAAAAGTTGGCCAAAAAATACCCACCGGATCAGCACTCTAGACCTCCCTCTAGTGGGGGTTCTTTCACCAGCAGTTGCATGAGCAAGTAATTGCAGGGCTGCACCATTAACCTCACGTGTACAACAATCATCTGGTTTCTGTGCATTTCAGAACTCCTTGATCCAGACCCCAGCATCCCAGTGGTGCAGGCTCAGTGCTCTGCATCGGTGTTACCATTGCGCCGTTGCATCTCTGCAACCACGTGCCACCCGTTGCCGCGTGTAACGTCGCTGCACCCTGTGCACCGCACGTGTCAACAGCCCCTGCCGCTGCTCCGCCGGGACACCGGCTTGATCCTGACGATGTCTCAGGAGCAGGCCGCCTGCCTCCTGGCCAACGCCTTCTTCTGCACGTTCCCCCGGAGCAACGCCACCGGGACCCGGAGCGAGGACTCTGCCTGCCCCGACATCAACGTCAACAGGTGCAGCAGCAGCAGCCCATCACTGTGCATTACACACCGAACACCGTGTGTCATGCAGTACACACACACAGATGCCATGCTCTTTCTATGTAGAGTATTTCTTGCTGTATATGTAGCGTCGGAAATGCAAAGCACACACCACACTGTATGCTTACCTGTAGTTGCAGGCACGAGTCTGCAGGGGGTGCCACCCTGAGTTAGAGAGAGAACCGGGACCGTTGAGAGGCCGAGTCCCCCCCCCCCCGACCCCAGGTGAGGGGTTGGGGGGTTATTCCAGAGCCACCTGGAAGGTTCCAGAAAGGGGGCAGTACCGGGGGTGGAGAGTCCCCGAGGTGGGTAAAAAAGACGGACCCCAGGACGGCCCGAGGCAGTGCTCTGAAGACGAAGAATGAAGACCGGCTAGGCAAGGACCCTGGGACCCTGGGACCCGGGACCCGACGTCCTTTAATGGGCCGGGGCCGAGCACGGACCAGTGGTCGAGACCCGCACCTTGGCTGGGTCGGGTCAGCATAGCCTCCCCTAGGCCACCCTTAGTCGGAGGACTCAGAGCCCGTAGCCCCAGTGATAGGGCACGTTAGCCCGGAGGCCATACCTCCCCAAGTAGTGGGAGTAAAAGGGGCTTCTGTTATAAGATTTAAATAAACCGTGTTGCCTCTAAGCTACGTCTCCAGTCTCCGTGGGAACCCACTACATATACACAAGAAATGCTGTTCTACACATAACGGCCATGCCATGTTTCAGTTCAAAGTAACGCTGCAGTACGTGCACAGGCTATGCTCCTTTACACATACTCTGTATTATACGGCACACACTTTCATGGTGCTGTGTACACGGTATATGATGCGTTACACATAGGCCATGCTGTATTATAAACTCCGTTCAAAGTATCAGTTTATACGTAGCCAATGCCACTGTACAAAGACAAAAATCCCCCTCATAGCCTTAACAGATTTTTGAGGCAAGTGGTGTTAGTGAGCACCTAATGAGGACTGGCACAGTACACAGGGGAGTGGGTGGCCAACACCATGCCCAGCCGCATTTGTCTCCCTCGTGGTGATGTGTACACACTGCATCAGGTACTCATTTGAGGTTGAGTCGACCATGGGGAGGCCCAGGACCGGTTCAGATATTTCCCACTGTTATACCGGTAGGAACAACAGGTTCCACACTGCCCACCAGGGATTATTTGTCTGTCGTGCATATGGGGAGGGGAGGGTGGGGGTGGGAGGGGTGGGGCTGGGTGGAGAGGGGAGGGTGGGGAGGGGCTGGGGGAGGGGAGGGTGGGGAGGGGCTGGGGGAGGAGGGGAGGGGCTGGATGGGGAGGGTGGGGCTGGGTGGGGGGTGGGAGGGGTGGGGCTGGGTGGGGAGGGGCTGGTCACCCCGTGGTGCCCTTATAAAACTCAACGTTTAACCTACACACTACACTATACACGACACGATAAACTACACCAGGGGTCCTCAAACTACGGCCCGCGGGCCACATGCGGCCCACCGAGGACATTTATCCGGCCCATGGTCACTAATTGGGCTGCGGTGGTGGGCACTCATTGGGCTGCGGTGGCGAGCACTGATTTGGCTGCGCTGGCGAGCACTGATTGAGCTGCGGCGGTGAGCACTGATTGAGCTGCGGCGGTGGGCACTCATTGGGCTGCGCTGGTGAATGGTTCAATGGGCCAATTGACTGGACTTGCCCCCCAGGCCTAAGGCTGCCAGCCCTCCCCTGGCTGTACTTGACTGGCTCTCCCTCCCTCAGCTCACTCACTTGCCCCTCGGCTCCACTCCCAGTGATATTCCTGTGTGCTGAGTAAATGATAGAGGGGTAATAACAGAGTGATCTCTGATCTCTGGAGGGGCTGCCTGCTGTTTTCCCGTGCTGGTCAGTGACAGACAGCCGAGGAGTAGGAAACCCAATTTAAATGACAGTAAGTGCATTTATATTCTGATTGCTATTCAGTTGTATGAGGTTATATGTTGTATGTTGTGTAAGCCCCGGTTCATACTGTTGCGATCTCTGAGCAGTGCGAGTTCAGCCATATGCTTGTATGGCTGAACTTGCATTAGATTCGGAAGAAAAAAGGCACATGTGCCTTCTTTTTTCCTGCAGTGGAATCGGATCGCATGGGTCTTCTCCCCCATGCGATCAGATTCCTATGCGAGTTCGCAGATCGCACTGCGATCTGTGAACAAAACTGCAGGTGTAATTAACTTTTTAATGGCACCCGCACCAGTGTGAGCCTGGGGTAAAAGCGGAGTTCCCCCAATCAGACAGCATTGATGGGCAGTGCAGTCTGTATGTCTCTGTGTGGGCAAAGTTATTGCTGGTATATTGTTTTTGTAGCGCTGTATATGTATATTGGTATTTTACTAATAGCAATTTTGACTCCCTTGGAAACAATGATGTCAAGAAAGAGAAAAATTGACTCGGAGTGTAGGATATTCAAAGAACAGTGGACTTATGATTACTTTTTCATGCAGTACAAGGAAAGAGCTGTGTGTCTGATATGCCAGAACATAGTGTCTGTGTTCAAAGAATACAATTTACGTCGACACTATGAAACTCAACATAAAGATAAATATGATTGGTCGGAGAAGTGAAAAAAGATAAAATATTAAAACTGAAAAATACACACTACAATGACAATAGTTTAAAGTTTAAACTATTGTCATTGTAGTGTGTATTTAATGTGGCGCTGCACTCTGATGTTGTAGGAGAAAACATGTATTAAAAAGTCTATTTAATTAAGTAGAACGTGTTGTCTATATTTATTTAAAGTTGCGCATTTTGATGTGACGTCACATTTATCAACCCCCCCCCCCCCCAATCGTCACACATGTCTGACCCCCCCCCCCCAGGTGCGTGACGTCATTTATGGACGGCCCCCGAGTCCCCTGCCTCTGAGAGTTCCCAGCGGCTTGAACAAAAAACCTTCAACCTCGACAGACAACGCGAGACCACTACCACCTCTGCCATTGCCTCATGTCAGCACTGTACTGGCCTGCGTGCGGAACTTCTTCCGCACCGTACGTAGCTAGTCCGAGGTGCTAATTTAGGATCCCTCTCCAACTTCCACCTCTTCGCTGCCCCCCCCCCCCCCCTAGGGCAGACGTTGACAGCGGGCACGGGCTACGGAGCATGGATCCCGTGCAGGAGAAATGTCGAATGTGCGTGGGGAGCGTCAGCGCAGCACGCGGACACGGCGAGTCCAAGGTGCACGCACACCACAGGCGGCGCAGGCGAGACCCCAGCAAGTCTGGACTTGCGCGAGAAAAATAATAAAATTATCATCTAAATCACTCAACACGAATTGGTTAACGCTTGTCACTGATAATCCAGAGTGACGCCTCGCGTGTCGCGTGTCGTCGTTGTTGTGTTTGTTACCCGGGCATGGCAGCTGCGCGTATTGCGCGTCGTGTTGTGTGTGTTAGTCTGTAAGTTCGTTGTGAATGTTGTGGATTTGCTCTCCAGCACACAACCGGTTAGTGCGGTGCTCGTCACGAATTGGCCACATTCTGTTTACGTGACAAACCCCTTCCTAGTTGTAACTGTGTATGTATCTGTGTATGTAACTGTGATGATATCGATGTACCCGTGTATGTATGTTGTATGTATGTTGTATGTATGTATCTGTGTATGTGTCTGTGTATAAGTGGAACTTCTTCCGCACCGTACGTGGCCACGCGTGGTGATCGCGGGCGAGGCCGAGCGACGCGAGAGGGGTGAGGGGGGGGGCAGCTGCGGGTCGCCCCCCCCCCCCGCGCCCTGGGGGCTCCGTCACCGCCACCGCCGCCCTGGGGGCTCCGCGCGGGGGCGCCAGGAGGAGGAGGCGCCGCGTGATGCACAAGTCGCCGCGTGGCCCCGTGGTGAGCGCCGGGAAGGGCCGTCACGTGGCAGTGGCGCCTACGCACGAACCTCCAGCTCTCCAGGGGCCATGTCACCGCCCCCGATATAAACGCGGCAGTGACGAGTCAGACCGCGGCAGTCATCGCAAGGGACGATTCGGACATCCCCGACGCGAGCTCGGCACGAGATCCGTCTTCGTCGTGGTCGTCCTGCACGTGGTGCCGAGGGGCTGCTGCTGCTGCTGGGAGCGCGTCGCGTGCAGGTGCCCGCGTGAGCCCGCCCGGGGGGAGTTGTCGGCACGACGACCCGAGGCGCAGCCCGAGCCGAGCGGTGACAATGGGTCTCCTTGCGTCACGAGTGGCGTCGCTGCTGGACGGAATGTTCACTCAGCAAGCGCGCGTGCTGCTGCTGGGTTTGGACGCGGCCGGGAAAACCAGCATCCTGTACAAGCTCAAGCTCGACGAATCCGTGGTGACCATCCCGACCATCGGCTTCAACGTGGAGACCGTGCAGCCCATCAGGAACGTCACCTTCACCGTGTGGGACGTGGGCGGCCAGCAAAAGATCCGCGCTCTCTGGAGGCACTACTTCCAGAACACGGACGGGCTCCTCTTCGTGCTGGACAGCGCGGACCTGGGAGCGCTTCCCGGAGGCTCTCAAGGAGCTGGACGCCATCCTGGACAGCCCCGAGATGACGCGGGTGCCCTTCGTGCTCCTCGCCAACAAGCAGGACCTCCCGCGGGCAGCGGCCACCGCGGAGGTGGCGGAGGCGATGAAGGCGGTGAAGACGCGGCACGGGCGCGAATGGCTGGTGCAGGGCTGCTGCGCCCGCACCGGAGAGGGCCTCCTGGAGGGCGTGGGGCAGCTCTCCCGCTTTATCAGCAACTCCAGAGCCTCCTCGGGGACAAAGTGAGCGCGGCTCGGCAGCAGCAGCAGCGGCGGCGGCGGTGTCACTCCAAGGCGGCGTCTCTCGTGCACGTGGGGGGGGGGGGCTTTCGAGTTGTGTCCACTGGTCGTAACTTCACACGAGCGAACGCCGTCATTCAAACAAACAGCTCGCTGTGTGTGCCTCTGCGTGTGGATGTCTCTTGGTGTGCTGTTGCTCTGCTTGTCCCTCTGGGCTGCCCAGAAGTATATCTTTCCTTGTGTGTCTTCTCTGTGTATGTACCTCGTGTCTGTTCACGAGTCCCTGTCCTCTGTTTTTACGTTGGCATGTTCAGCCCAGATGATGAACACGAGAGATGTATCAGTCTTTTGAAATACGTGGTCAACCAGGTGAGTGTCTAACAGTGTTGTTGGCCGACTGGTTTGCATCACGTGATGGTTCCAAGGTCTGTTGAGTTTCTCGTCTCCCATCTTCTTGTTGCATTTGCTTACGTGCAGTTTGCCGTTCTCTGTGTGCTGTGCACGTGGTGTCCCCATGTGTGATGTTTCACCCAATTTCCACCTGATGATGAGCACTTGTTTTGCGTTCGAAACGTCGTGATTTATTTTAATTTAATTTATTTAATTTTATTTCTACATACGTGTCTTTACCGGAAAAAAACCAATGCGTAAAACAGCTTGTTGTGAAAGACCCAATGCAGAAGATCGCTGGGTTTGGTCTTCCACGAAGCTCACGTTCCACCCTAAACCGCATCCACGTCACAAACCACGGCAGTAGATGCGGATACCCTGATGCACAAATGTTAAATTAGAAACTCTCCAGGAGCCTGCGACTGCGGCCATCCAGAACAGACCGTGCCACGTGTAACGACGCAATGCCCGGTCCACAAACACGACGGAGACGTCACAGCGATACACTCACTACCACTGCTTCTTCTCACGCGGTGATCTGGGCTTGCCCACCTGGATGTGACTTCATAGTCGTCTGCTGTGCACCTGCATCAGCAGCCACACGAACGAAGCATCAGAAGAGAACGCGTCCACGTGCACGCGCCACGCGACTGCGCGTGCCTCTCGCTGCGAGTGAACCTCCGCATCGTCGTCAACTGCGGACTGCAGGTTCACTTCGACGGCGGCTGTCGCTCTGTGATTCCACACTGGGGGGCAAACGCCTCTCCCGAGTTGATTCCGTTCCGCGCTTTCCTTGCAGCCGTCGCGTCGCGGCCTCCGGATGCTATGGGGTCATCTCGCCATCTCTACGGGTCAACTTTGACCGCTCGTGGTTTAGATATAAACATGTGAATGGCATCTGTAAATTAAAAGCGGCACAATCTGTGCAAGTTTTTTTCATCGAAGGCACTGTAATGGCTCGTCTCATTTTCAGACATGCTTTTATAGACCAAACGACATTGTATAATCTTGATTTGAAGTTTTCGTGACTGCAGAAATCCATACTCTTTGGTTCTTTCGGTAAAGTCACGTAGGAAGAAATAGAATAGTTTTAAATAAAATAAATTAGTATTTCTACCTACGTGACTTTACCAAAAGAACCAAAACATTGCATAACATCTGTAGATAATTGTAGGATTTGTCGTTCTCGTCTTTCATACAAATGAGATTGTTTGACCCTAATGGTTAAATTCATCAACGTACTCAATTTTAGTACCGTTTGTGTTCACATGTTCTCTTAAACTGTCAATTCAGCTGTTCGTGGCTTTGCACTGCTCGATTAAATATTTGATAAAATGTAAAATCTACTTTTGTTATATGAAAACCAGGACAATGTAATCAGCGCAATGTGAATGTGTAAATTGTTTAGGGTTGATATTCTCTCTGATTTCGTTACCCCGATGGTGATGCGGCGTTACCTTCACTGCTCGTGTTCTTCAGAGTCACAGATTGTTTACACTCCTCGTTGTCTTAGACTCGCTAACTACGGATGGTGTATACAGGACATATCATCGAATGCCTTGTGTTATAAATCTATGACAGCTTGATCAATGTATTTGCCGTACGCATTGTAAGTTGTTAGTTGGTTGAAGGTGGCCTGATGTTGATGATTTCATGAATTGTTTGTTTAGTCGGTTTGTTGTTGTCTAATGTATCAGATTTGCATTGAATAATGTTGATAAATATGTTGTAGATGCACGAACCGAGGCTGATAGTCGAATGATTATATTATTAAGATCCAATCGTCACGTTTGTGCAATAAAATAGTTTGGGATCAGACAGTGTCGTTACCGTTAAATGTTCTCGGATTGTGCGACCTAATTTACATCTTGCTTCAAGCAGTTCTTCTTGACTCGAGTTGAAGATTGTTGCCCGAGTTTTCCATCTTCGGACGATTGCACGATTTAACGTGCCTATGAACGATGTAAAAGTGTCCCTAGACGCAGCTGATGATACAACTACTGGCTCCACAGAAGCAAATGAAACGTGTTACTGCATTTTAGAGCCTTAACATTCACCACTTATCATTTAATTTTTCATTTCTTTGGTATAGCCCTGTGAGCCATGCGGCTCTTAAGTCGGGTGCAACCGCAACAAACAAAATATGAACAGAGAAAAGAAACATCCTCGATAAACCAGCACATCTTCCAAAAAAAAAACGTATTACAACCCTGTGGGCAAAAAAAAAACAACAAACAACCATAAGACAATTTATATTAACCATATGTTTTCTAAATCACCAAAATAAAGCTATAAAAACAATGTAACAGTAATCATAGGAACTGTGATTCTTAATTTAACAATAAACGATATACATAACATGTACGACCAAACTTGCAGCCATAGCTGGCAGCATGACACTCCTTGTGTATGATGTGTGAGTAAGCGTATGATAAGTGAGTCAGTGAGAGTGTGAGTGAGTGTATGATGAGTGAGTCAGCGTATGATGAGTTAGTGTATGATGAGTGAATTGTGTATGATGAGTGAATGGGTCAGTGGTTGTGTGAGTGACTGTATGTTGTGTGAGTGAGTCAGTGTAAGATGAGTGAGTGTATCACGGCCTCCTTCCCGCCATCACGGCCTCCTCTCCTCGGCTCCGTCGGCTCCCTCGGCTCCATCAGCGCCTCCAGCCTGCGACTGCCGAAGGTATGGGGATGACGAACCAGGAGCCGTCCTGCAAACCTCAAGGATCAGAATCAGAGCCATCATTTTTTATGGCGTCATCGTGTCGTGAGCTCCGTCAAGCGTCTTGAGTGAAGGCGCTGTCCATTTCATTCGTTCATCGCGCAGGGCTCGGGGAAAGGACCTCTTGCGACTCGCAGCATTCCCATGAACTGCTTCTTGCCGCCCGAACACCGCTGTTCATCAGATGCTTAGAAACGTGATGTCTTTGTATTATTACACGCTTTTATTTAACTCACTCTGTCTGTTGTTGTTGTCGTATCCTCAAATCTTGTAACTGAATTTTAACCCACTTCCCAATGTGGTATCGACTGCAAAACTTGGTATACTTATGTCATACTGATGACAATACTATATTCTATCATAAAAAAACTTAAAAATATATATATTTGTAAACATTATTTTTTATATGTTATGTTTCGGCTTGGGTCTCATTGTCCACGCTCAACTGATGTTGGCTGTAAATCAGCACGGCCCCTGACGTGATGGCAAGCTTCGGGGCCACTTCCTGGAGTCGTGGAGTTCTGCCATTACGAATACGGTACATTTCATTAAAGCGTGTTTTTAAAAAAAGTACTTTTAAATATTACTTATTACCTCAACGGTTAGAAATGGGTGGAGCAGTGGGCGTAGTGGTTAGCGCACTGTTGTCTGAACCTGGCCACATGAGTTGGATTCCTGGCCACGACTAACATGACCAGCGTGGTGAAGTATGATCACACAACCTTTAATGACTGATAGGGAATGCGGTGGTCTTCATCCGGCAGTCCCGCGGGACGAAACTTTTTTACTTTTCTAACTTATTACAAAACATGTATTGGCCAGTAATAAGAGGCACACGTTATTACCAAGTGTGAATCATTATCCAATTTAGCTCATAGCTGCTCACCAATGACATTCTAAAGTTGACAATGTTTATTAAAAGTCTGAAGTGTTAGAAGAGAACAGCGGTCTACTTGTTGACTTCTTCATTCACCACTTTAATTTAAAACGGGGACACGCAGTGTGGTGTCAGGGAGTGAGCTCACTTCCCCGGTCACTCGAGCGAACGAGGGGCCGTCCATAAATGACGTCACGCGATTTTGGACGATTTTTGACCCCCCCCCCTCGTCACACGGCGTCATGAAAAGTCAGACCCCCCCCTCAAATATGACGTCACAAAGCTCTGCCCCCCCCCCCCCCCCAAATAAAACACGCTTCAAATCGCTTTAAAGTTTAGAGAGTTACGTGTTTAGAGGTTTCTGTGTTTCGATTGTTGGATGTTGAATGGTTTAGATGGTTAGTAGTTGAGGTTATAAGGGTATGTGTTTAGGGGTTTAGAGGTATCGGGGTTTCAAGGGTTAGTGATTTACAGTGTTAGGTGTTTAGTGGTTTGAGAGTTGAGGGTTTAACACCTAGACTTTCACAACTAATATTGTCCATAATAAAGTTTTTTTTTGGGTTAGTCTCCAACACTAAATGGCACTTTTTGTTGATGTGACAAATTTTACTAATTGGCTGTTTCGGGTGGTGGTTGATTTAACGACACGTTTATATTTACATAATCTAACAAAAAAAACCTTTATGGGTTTAGAGGGTTCCGGGTGTAGTGGATTATGTTTTTAGAGGGTTAGCATTTTAGGGGCATAGGTGTTTTAAGGGTTAGGCGTCTAGAGGGTTCGTTCTTTAGAGGGTAGAGGTTTAAATGTGTTGGGATTAGGTTACAGATTTAGGGTTTTAGAACGTTAGGGTTTTGAGGGTTAGGGTTTTAGAGGTTGAGGAATTAGGAGGTTGTGAGTTCAGAGGGTTAGGGGTCTAGAGGGTTAGTTCTTTAGAGGGTAGTGGTTTAGATTGGTTGGTATTTAGAATGTTAGGGATTTAGGGTTTTAGAAGGTCAGGGTATCAAGGTTTAGAGGGTTAGGGATTCAGAGGGTTTAGAGGGTTTGGTTTTTAATGGCTTAGACGGTTAGGGTTAAAAGTATAAGGGGTTTAGAGAGTGAGGGTTTTAAGGGTAAAGGGGTTGAGGGTTAGGGGTATAGGAATTTAGAGGGATAGGGGTTCAGATGGTTAGGGTTTACCTTTCCTGTGATGTTTTTGTATTGTATTTTTGTTGTTATTTTCTGACCCACCCGATTGGACGTCTGTGAAAACAGATCGTTATAGCTTATCAGATTCATCCAGTATCAATAAATATTCAAATTCTATTGACCTCTGTGCGAATCTATGGATTTCTGTGTGAGTTTTTGGGCCTTTGAGAGTATGGATCTCTGTGTGAGGCTCTGGGTCTCTGAGCATGTCTATCGGTCTCTGTATGGGGTCGCTGTGTAAGTCTGAGTGTCTGTAGGAATGTATGGGTCTCTGTTGGAGTCTATGGGTTTCTGGGTATGGTTGTTTGTGCGAGTCTTACATGCACAAATTTAACTTAAAATGGCCATTGAGGGTTGCGGAATCCAAGTTGAATATTAAGTTCCCTGCAGTGCAAGCCAGCTCTCTAGTCGTGTCATCAAACAAGCCCCTTTAATTCTTTATAATAATAAAATAGACTTAGTCCAGGAAATCCACACTGAGTCACAGTCGGGTCCTGAATTGTTTTTTTTACATTTTCGACGTATGAATGATGAGTTCTTACACAAGTGGGGGAAACCGGAGCACCTGGAGAAAACCCACGCATACGAGGGGCAGCACTTTAAACCGTGCAGGCAAAGATGGCGATTATCCCACTTTCTGTACTGCCTTCTCCTGGCCAGCCAGCCAGGAGAAGGCACCTCGATGCCCACGGAAAGGGGGTTTCACAACATTCACTGTGTGATCCACTCACCCTTGCTGCCTTCCACTGCTGGATTACAGGCTTGCAACACCACCGCCTGGCGAATAATAGTAATAATTAAAAGTTTTATAGCGCGCACAAGAACGACTCAGAGGCATGAGGAACCACAGCCGTGCAGGAAGGAAGCCACGTGGTGAGCCAGTACCAAC